CCCACCACCCATCATCCACCCACCCACCCATCCACCCACCACCCATCATCCACCCACCATCCACCCACCCAGCCAGACAATATGTATTTGAGGGGTGGCTGAAGGAAGGAAGGGGAACTGAGGCAATGGAAGGCTCGTCTGAGAGGAGGGTCTCAGGCGTGCACCTGCGACAGCAGTTCATCCAATTTGCAGTTTGGCACCAGCTGGGAGCACTGGGAATACCCCAGTGTGTCAAGGCCGGATGGGGCAGAAACGGGAAGCAGACTACAGCAGCAAGCAGAAGCTGGCAACCTCGATGAGGGCCATGTTCCTGGTAGAAGGTGATGACCCAGCCCAAGTGCTGGCTTTGGTCCTTACCAGTTATGAATCAACATGTCACATCTCTGAGGCCCCAGTGGCTCAAGAGCCGGTACAGACCTGCTGGGCCTCAGACACACAATTACTCAGCTGTTTACGTGGGGCAAAACCTCAGTCTTTGGCAAAGCCACACAGGCTGGGAGGACAGTCTGTCTTCCTAGGGAGCGCACAGCTCACAGAGCATCAAAATGTAGACTGCACTGTCCTGGGCAGGACACAAGGACTCGCATTTGGGAATGCCCTTGCTCCTCCACGCAGGAGCTGAAAATACCCAGACCAGCCTGTCCTGCCAGCAGCGTCTTCTCCCACCCCTCAGGGGCCTCGAAGCCAGCCTGTAGGCTAGAAGCCCCCAGGGTCAACCGAGGACTTTGGTGAAGACCCTGGGGAAAGCGCCAGACGGTGGCCTTGGGCGGGACCCAGGAGTCACTGCCCATTCCCCTGCCTGTGGTTTTTCAGGCCTGGCCTCTACACATGGGCTCTGCGCAGGGATTCAGCCAATCCCAGGCTGCCCAGCCTCGGCCTACCCACTTCCAGAGCTGCACCGGGTGATGGTGTAACTCCAGGGGTTGTGCAGTACAGAGATCCTGTTCTCGTGAACCAAATACAGGGCCCAGCAGTCACGGTGACAATGGGACCCTCACACCCAGGCGACCCTCACCTGACACCCACCCACCTCAAGAGATGCTCTGACACCACTTGCCCTCCAGGGAAGGGAACCGTTGGCAATGGGAGTCCAGGACTTGGCCTTGGGTGGGCTCAGTCTGTGACTGTGGAAAGCCTGAGCTGGACTCGTAGTGGAAACAGGGGGAGACTCATTGTCCACCTCAGCTTGCTCCCTCTGAAAATCCCTGACGTGACAAAGAAATCGGTGCTGACACAGTGACTGTTGGCCCTAACTGTGGGGTCTCAGACCACCCACCCCCTCTCAGTGCAGCTGGCTCAGAGCTGTGGTCCTGCTGGGACCCAAGGTAGGTAAGATTCTAAAATATGCAGCAACTGCACAGCAGACCCCTGTATATCCCGTCTGGGTGCAAGTTTCATTACATAAAGAAAAGTTGAAGGGAGCCCCAAAGCAGCTGAGTCTCCTCAGTCCCATCAACACCCCTGACCCCTCTCACAGGTCACAAGGCTCCCCCAGGAATCAGCCCGAGGCTGTGTGTGAAGGCGTCACGCTCACAGGTGACGTCCCAACATGTGGCCTCTGAAAGAGCACCCCAGACTGCACACCCATGGGAGGGGTGAGGTGACCTCAGGCCCTGTCTCTTTGTTCCTTTAAAGGGCAAAAGCTGAGATCAGTGGACAGACTGGTCTCAGAAACACCTTCCTATCTTCTGAGAGGGATGATGTGCCTGTAGCCAGCTCATGGCCAGCCATAGGCATGGGCGTGTCCCAGCTGGGCAGCCCTTCCCCCGTCTGACCAGCAGTCAGGAGCAGACACATTTCTGTAGGTTCCAGCCACTTTTGCTGGAATGTCAGAGGGAGCCCCAGCGGACTTATCACTAACCCCTGACCTCCCAGGTTAACCCTCCTTAGTCCATCTCGCACTGCAAACTGAACCCTTGTGCTGGACATGCTGTCTTGGCAGGTGAACGTGCGTACCTGGCCCGTGTGGTGCTGGTGCCTAAGGTCTCCGTTGGCCCTGGGGGTGTCTGTGATTTGTCTGTGCGAGTTAGCACACCTCCTGCCTGCACTTGTGTTTGTGGTGAAGCTGTCTGCATCTGTGCGGACGTTCCGAGGTATGTGTGCATTGCGGACCTGTCCTGTGCATGCAGGTTTGGGAGCTGCTGTGCTGGCACGTGGGAGTGCATGGTGTGAGCACGCATGGGGGGTGCTGTGGGCGTGAGCTTTTGAGAATGCTCCCATTCGTGGGTGGCTGGGCACGTGTGTGTGGAGGTCAGCTTCCTTACAGGTCAGCGTCGGCTATGCCACACCAGTGGGGCCATATATCTGTCCCCGCCCCTCTTCCTGTTCTGGGAAGGTCTGGGCCTGTTCCCCAGCCCGTAACTCACCAAAGCAGAAGAGCTCAGGAGGACTGAGGCTGGGCCAGGCCCGGACTCTGCTCACCTGCACCTGCTCTGAGCTGCACCTGTGGCCCCCTGCGCACGCTCTCCTCCTCCAAGCACAACCCCGTCGTCTCCTCCTGGGGTATATACCACCTCTGGTGCTCAATAAAGGGTGATTGATTGAAGGAATGGATTAGAGGCGGCTCTCAGAGGAGCGGCCGGAGAGGGGGCTGGGCGCCCAGGGATGGGTCACGGCTGGCGCAGCCAAGGTTGGGGGCCGTGGGGCCTGCAGGCGGCCCGCGCTCCCCCCTCCCCGGACGTCTCGGGTCACCGTCTGCACCGCCGGCCGGCCGCGCCGCCCCGCTGGTTATTTATGACCCTCCTCCCCCTCCCCGGCGGCAGCGGCTGCTCCGGCCTCAGCCCAGCGGCGAGGGCCCCGAGCGGGGGGACCCTGAGCAGCGACGGCACCTGCGCTCCGCCAGGCTAGACGCCTCGCTGGGGGTGATGCCAGCGCCAAAACTCTGTCCCTCTGGCCTCTGCCTGAAGATTGAGAAGCTCAGAGCGGGGTGGGGCACGGGTGCCCCAGGCCAAGACCCAGCTGAATGCGAGAGGACAAGCTGAATGCGAGAGGAAGGGGCAGAACCCCGTGGGAGGGGAGGGTGTCCGAGGAGTCCACTTCCTGAAGGGGGCAGGGCTTCCCCATCAGCCAAGGCCCTACCAGTCCCTGGAGGGGCTCCTCCTGGGAGTCAGAGAGTGGCCCTGTGAGGACAGGGGTCCCCCAGAAGGGACTCTGGTCCTCCAGAAAGGAGTGGAGCCAAATTGTGGCAAAGAGGTTAGGCAGGGTGGGCTGGTTTGGCCCCCACACCCAGCCAGAAACCCAGAGTCTGCCCCCGTGCCCCTCCTTAACTGCACTGTGGGCCTGAGCATGATGAGAGAGGCCAGGGGTGAGCAAGGCTGGTACAAGACAAGGGGCCGCGTGGTGGCTGCTCAGGTCTGGAGATGTGCTGCTGTCAGGGGCTGTGCCGCCCTGCCCCAGGCCACAGTAGGAGGGTCAGGAAGCCTGAGTCTCAGCAGACAGGTGCATGTGAACATGAGAAGTCCTGGGGGGGCACTTTTGGCAGTAGGGTCAGCGCTGCGGACAGAAGGTGGGCACATCAGGCTCACCGCTCTTGCCTCCAGCCAGCCCTGACAGCCTCCCCATGTGTGCCACAACCACCCGTTAACGTGATGGCCCCTCATGGGCTGTGGCTGGTGAGCAGGGAGGTCTCCTGTGTCCACTAGATGACGTGGTGTCACACCTGGGGCCAGGAGCATGCTGGCATCCAGGCCTCAGGCTGGGCAATGGGGCCGAGGGTGGCAAAGGAAGCAGCAGTCACATTTCCACAGACAGATGTAGAAGGAGTAGCCCCGAGTGCAGGGGGCAGGAGGGGAGTGCAGCACAGGGCTCTCTGACCCATTCCTGGCCACAGCAGAGCACATCTGGGCCCAGACCTCACTCCCCAGAGGACTTGGGGCCGGCTGCCTCAGTGAGGGAAGGCCGAGTAGTGGCCAGCGCTCAGCTTCATGCCCAGCTGGTGCTGGTGTCTGGTGGGGGAAGGGAGGGCTGTTCCCTCATTCCCAGCCACCCCCTCAAAGAAGGCGCTTGTGCAGATCGGCCCATGACACAGCTCAGCCCCCTGGAACCTGGTCAGGGAGAGGCCCATGGGGTGGCCCTGCCAGGTGCATCTCAGAGGGGCACGGGCTGGGGCAGAGTCTGGGATACGAGGCTACTTTCTAGTGTGTCTAACATGACACACCAGAGAAAGACAAGCCTGTCTCCCCTGCTATTACCAAAGCCTCCGGGTTTCCCAGTCTCTTCCTGACACTCTGACTCAGCACGACTGGGGCAGGCAGGTAGGTGCAGGAGGGCACAGAAGCTCACCAGGGGGGCCGTTGCCCTCAGTACGGCCTGGGCCCAGGCTGACCTGCTCCCCTCAGGCACCAAGGTGGACATGGGTGTGGCACGTCCCTCTTCCCCAGACTTGCTTCAGAGGGGAACAGAAAAGTGCTGGTGCGCACCTTCCCAGGTCTGCCGCAGCCCCTCCTCCACACGTGCCCATCCCCCACCCTGATTAGGGTCCACCCCACCTCCATGCCCCACACCATGGCTCTGACACTGTTTGTCCCGAAGTCAGACCTCCTGGACTTGACACTGCTGCCTGGAGTCAGGGGAGTTACTTGACCTCTCTGTCTCAGTTTCCTCATCTGTAAAATGGGAATAAGAAGGGAACATCACGGTGGGATGATCAGGTGAGGGGAAACGCTGTCCTTGTGTTATTCACAGAACACAAAACCTCCTTGACGCGTTTGCCGAGGCAACACGGCACAGATCCACGACCTCACACCCTGCAGATGCGCAGAGACCACCCACCCTCCGACACCGCCGCCCGCCCCCCGCCGGCTCACACCCCGCAGACCCGGGCCAACCCCGCCGCCCCCGCCCC